CCTACTTACACATTGGACAAATGTGATACCACCTACGACTGCTGCACCTCTCCTGCCTACAGTATATAAGCCACTTCTTCGCACATATGCTGTATTTTTTCAAGATTGATGGACTGATCACATCGACTCAAGGCTGAGGGATTGATTACCTCTAACATTCTCCATTGTATGGACTGATAAAGCCACTGTGTGACGAAACGTTTCCTCATTAAAGATACCCAAATGTTGCATGTGTGTCTAAATTATATTTGTGAAGCTAGTGGAGGAAGAGCTTTTTCCATTTTCGGGGAGGTCCAAATTTTAGGGGTTCCTAGATAGGTTGAGTCATACTCAATAATACAAAGAATAAGTATCTTAAAGAGATACATATTTCTTGTGTTGTGTGTGTGTTCTGTTGCAGTGCTCCAGTAAGAGTTGGAGCACTGGGTTGTGTGTGTTCTGTTGCAGTGCTCCAGTGAGAGTTGGAGCACTGGGTTGTGTGTGTTCTGTTGCAGTGCTCCAGTAAGAGTTGGAGCACTGGGTTGTGTGTGTTCTATTGCAGTGCTCCAGTAAGAGTTGGAGCACTGGGTGTGTGTGTTCTGTTGCAGTGCTCCAGTAAGAGTTGGGAGCACTGGGTTGTGGTGTTCTGTTGCAGTGCTCCAGTAAGAGTTGGAGCACTGGGTTGTGTTGTGTTCTGTTGCAGTGCTCCCAAAAAGAGTTGGAGCACTGGTTGTGTGTGTTCTGTTGCAGTGCTCCCGTAAGAGTTGGAGCACTGGGTTGTGTGTGCTCTGTTGCAGTGCTCCAGTGAGAGTTGGAGCACTGGGTTGTGTGTGTTCTGTTGCAGTGCTCCAGTAAGGTTGGAGCACTGGGTTGTGTGTGATTTTGTTGCGTGCTCCAGTAAGGGTTGGAGCACGGGTTGTGTGTGTTCTGTTGCAGTGCTCCAGTAAGAGTTGGAGCACGGGTTGTGTGGTTTTGTTGCAGTGCTCCAGTAAGGGTTTGGGGCCTGGGTTGTGTGTGTTCTGTTGCAGTGCTCCAGTAAGAGTTGGAGCACTGGGTTGTGTGTTCTATTGCAGTGCTCCAGTAAGAGTTGGAGCACTGGGTTGTGTATGTTCTGTTGCAGTGCTCCAGTAAGAGTTGGAGCACTGGGTTGTGTGTGTTCTGTTGCAGTGCTCCAGTAAGAGTTGGAGCACTGGGTTGTGTGTGTTCTGTTGCAGTGCTCCAGTAAGAGTTGGAGCACTGGGGTTTTGTGTGTTCTGTTGCAGTGTCCAGTAAAAAGTTGGAGCACTGGGTTGTGTGTGTTCTGTTGCAGTGCTCCAGTAAGAGTTGGAGCAGTGGGTTGTGGTGTTCTGTTGCAGTGCTCCAGTAAGAGTTGGAGCACGGGTTGTGTGTGTGTTCTGTTGCAGTGCTCCAGTAAGAGTTGGGGGCACTGGGTTGTGTGTGTTCTGTTGCAGTGCTCCAGTGAGAGTTGCAGCACTGGGTTGTGTGTGTTCTGGTGCAGTGCTCCAGTAAGAGTTGGAGCACTGGGTTGTGTGTGTTCTATTGCAGTGCTCCAGTAAGAGTTGGAGCATGGGTTGTGTGTGTTCTGTTGCAGTGCTCCAGTAAGAGTTGGGCACTGGGTTGTGTGTGTTCGTTGCAGTGCTCCAGTAAGAGTTGGAGCACTGGGTTGTGTGTGTTCTGTTGCAGTGCTCCAGTAAGAGTTGGAGCACTGGGTTTTTGTGTGTTCTGTTTCAGTGCTCCAGTAAGAAGTTGGAGCACTGGTTGTGTGTGTTTTTGTTGCAGTGCTCCAGTAAGAGTTTTGGGGCACTGGGTTGTGTGTGTTCTGTTGCAGTTTCTCCAGTAAGAGTTGGAGCACTGGGTTGTGTGTGTTCTGTTGCAGTGCTCCCGTAAGGTTTTGGGGCACTGGGTTGTGTGTGTTCTGTTGCAGTGCTCCAGTAAGAGTTGGAGCACTGGGTTGTGTGTGTTCTGTTGCAGTGCTCCAGTGAGAGTTGCAGCACTGGGTTGTGTGTGTTCTGTTGCAGTGCTCCAGTAAGAGTTGGAGCACTGGGTTGTGTGTGTTCTATTGCAGTGCTCCAGTAAGAGTTGGAGCACTGGGTTGTGTGTGTTCTGTTGCAGTGCTCCCGTAAGAGTTGGAGCACTGGGGGTTTTGTGTGTTCTGTTGCAGTGCTCCAGTAAGAGTTGGAGCACTGGGTTGTGTGTGTTCTGTTGCAGTGCTCCAGTAAGAGTTGGAGCACTGGGTTGTGTGTGTTCTGTTGCAGTGCTCCAGTAAGAGTTGGAGCACATGGGGTTTTGTGTTTCTGTTTTCAGTGCTCAGTAAGAGTTGGAGCACTGGGTTGTGTGTGTTTTGTTGCAGTGCTCTAGTAAGAGTTGGAGCATGGGGTTTTGTGTGTTTCTGTTGCAGTGCTCCAGTGAGAGTTGGAGCACTGGGTTGTGTGTGTTCTGTTGCAGTGCTCCCGTAAGAGTTGGAGCACTGGGTTGTGTTGTTTGTTGCCCGTGCTCCAGTGAGAGTTGGAGCAAATGGGTTGTGTGTGTTCTGTTGCAGTGCTCCAGTAAGAGTTGGAGCACTGGGTTGGAGTTCGTTCTAGGTGTTCTGAATATATATAATGCACAGTAATAGGTGTGAGAATATTAAAACTTGAAAAGAGTGGATATGTTTCTTGATCCTGATTGGGTGATTATTCTAAAAAAAAAATTATGGTAACAATGGGTTTCTGGTGATTATCTTCAGTAAATCCCCAATCAAAGATTGTTTAAGTGAGGTAGGAGAGATTATAGAGTACTACATGATGAGTAGTGTTGTTGTTCTGGAACACTGGGTATTGATGAGTAGTGTTGTTCTGGAACACTGGGTATGATGAGTAGTGTTGTTCTGGAACACTGGGTATTGATGAGTAGTGTTGTTGTTCTGGAACACTGGGTATTGATGAGTAGTGTTGTTGTTCTGGAACACTGGGTATTGATGAGTAGTGTTGTTGTTCTGGAACACTGGGTATTGATGAGTAGTGTTGTTCTGGAACACTGGGTATTGATGAGTAGTGTTGTTGTTCTGGAACACTGGGTATTGATGAGTAGTGTTGTTGTTTTTGGAACACTGGGGATTTATGAAAAAGTGTGTTGTTCTGGAACACTGGGTATTGATGAGTAGTGTTGTTGTTCTGGAACACTGGGTATTGATGAGTAGTGTTGTTGTTCTGGAACACTGGGTATTGATGAGTAGTGTTGTTGTTCTGGAACACTGGGTTATTGTGAGTATGTTGTTGTTCTGGAACACTGGGTATTGATGAGTAGTGTTGTTGTTCTGGAACACTGGGTATTGATGAGTAGTGTTGTTGTTCTGGAAACACTGGGTATTGATGAGTAGTTTTTGGTTCTGGAACACTGGGTATTGATGAGTAGTGTTGTTTTTTTCTGGAACACTGGGTATTGATGAGTAGTGTTGTTGTTCTGGAACACTGGGTATTGATGATAGTGTTGTTGTTCTGGAACACTGGGTTATTGATGAGTAGTGTTGTTGTTCTGGAACACTGGGTATTGATGAGTAGTGTTGTTGTTCTGGAACACTGGGTTTTTGATGAGTAGTGTTGTTGTTCTGGAACATGGGTATTGATGAGTAGTGTTGTTGTTCGGAACACTGGGTATTGATGTTAGTGTTGTTGTTTGGAACACTGGGTATTGATGAGTAGTGTTGTTCTGGAACACTGGGTATTGATGAGTAGTGTTGTTGTTCTGGAACACGGGTATTGATGAGTAGTGTTGTTGTTCTGGAAACTGGGGATTGATGAGTAGTGTTGTTCTGGAACACTGGTATTGATGAGTAGTGTTGTTGTTCTGGAAAACTGGGTATTGATGAGTAGTGTTGTTGTTCTGGAACACCCGGGTATTGATGAGTAGTGTTGTTGTTCTGGAACACTGGGTATTGATGAGTAGTGTTGTTCTGGAACACTGGGTATTGATGAGTAGTGTTGTTGTTCTGGAACACTGGGTATTGATGAGTAGTGTTTGTTGTTCTGGAACACTGGGTATTGATGAGTTAGTGTTGTTGTTCTGGAACACTGGGTATTGATGAGTAGTGTTGTTGTTCTGGAACACTGGGTATTGATGAGTAGTGTTGTTGTTCTGGAACACTGGGTATTGATGAGTAGTGTTGTTGTTCTGGAACACTGGGTATTGGTGAGTAGTGTTGTTGTTCTGGAACACTGGGTATTGATGAGTAGTGTTGTTGTTCTGGAACACTGGGTATTGATGAGTAGTGTTGTTCTGGAAAAACTGGGTATTGATGAGTAGTGTTGTTGTTCTGGAACATGGGTATTGATGAGATAGTGTTGTTGTTCTGGAACACTGGGTATTGATGAGTAGTGTTGTTGTTCTGGAAACACTGGGTATTGATGAGTAGTGTTGTTGTTCTGGAACACTGGGTATTGATGAGTAGTGTTGTTCTGGAACACTGGGTATTGATGAGTAGTGTTGTTGTTCTGGAACACTGGGTATTGATGAGTAGTGTTGTTGTTCTGGAACACTGGGTATTGATGAGTAGTGTTGTTGTTCTGGAACACTGGGTATTGATGAGTAGTGTTGTTGTTCTGGAACACTGGGTATTGATGAGTAGTGTTGTTGTTCTGGAACACTGGGTATATTGTATAAAATGACGACTGTTTGGGAAAATGTCTTAGATATATGATGGATGTGCATTTTGACCATCAGTCTTGTGTTTATATGTGCGAATTATTTATTTTTTATGATGAAGTGAGTATCTTTAGTTATATTTAACTGTTGCACATGTGTTAGCTTCATCTACTTGTTGGTACTGTATATCATTGTTATATTAACATACCTGTGTATTAAGACGGAAGAAGTCATTCGTGAAGAAACATTTTCTCAATAAATATCTTGAAATATGTATACGTGTCTTCGTCTACATACTGTCGGTGTCACCATGCTAGGTCTTCAATTTATTTTAATTTTAAGACAAATTACACAAATTGCAAGAGAATATATAAATTCATAATATGAAATATTCAACCCACCTCATCAATAGTGAAAGTGAAAGTCAACTGAGTTTCATAATGTTCTACTGTGGCACTGACAGGATGTTCTGAGGTGTAGATGTTACCCACGGTGATCACCACGTTCCCAAAAACATTACCTGACTGTATAGCAGCATCACACCACACCTAGGAAGGAAAAATGTAAATGTAAATAATAAATTTAAACCATCTTAGTTAATAAAGTAGTTTAGTAGCCAAATTGTTCTGAATTCGGTTATCGCTGGAGATAATGCATTAGTTTCTAACACGGATTTAGCTAGTGTTTGGAGTATAACCAAAGGCTTGTCAAAATATATTGTCTTAATGTTTCCGCAATATTTATCTATTAAATACTGTAAGTGGAAGCCTCGCTCTCGCTCTGGATCCGCTTATCACTTCTACCACTGACACAAGGAAACCTTAAAAACATCAAGAACTCCGTGACGACACATTGCCCTCATCCCGACATCATGTTTTCTTTCACGTTAAATTAAACACCACCTCTAGCTTTTTAGAACATAAGAAATGAGGAACACTGCAGGAGGCCTATTGGCCCATACTAGGCAGGTCCTTTACAATTCATCTCACTAACAAAACATTTGCCCAACCTAATTTTCAATGCTATCCAAGAAATAAGCTCTGATGTGAAAGTCCCACTCAAATCCAACCCCTCCCACTCATGTACTTATCCAACCTAAATTTGAAACTACCCTAAGTCCCAGCCTCAATAACCCAACTAGGTAGACTGTTCCACTCATCAACTACCCTATTTCCAAACCAATACTTTCTTATGTCCTTTCTAAATCTAAACTTATCTAATTTAAATCCATTACTGCGGGTTCTCTCTTGGAGAGATATCCTCAAGACCTTATTAATATCCCCTTTATTAATACCTATCTTCCACTTATACACTTCGATCAGGTCTCCCCTCATTCTTCGTCTAACAAGTGAATGTAACTTAAGAGTTTTCAATCTTTCTTCATAAAAAAGATTTCTAATGCTATGTAATAATTTAGTCATCCTACGCTGAATGTTTTCTAACGAATTTATGTCCATTCTGTAATATTGAGACCAGAACTGAGCTGCATAATCTAGGTGAGGCCTTACTAATGATGTATAAAGCTGCAGTATGACCTCTGGACTTCTGTTGCTTACACTTCTTGATATAAATCACAGAAATCTATTTGCCTTATTACGTACGCTTAGGCATTGCTGTCTTGGTTTAAGGTTGCTGCTCACCATAACCCCCAAGTCTTTTTCGCAATCTGTATGGCCAAGTTCTACATCATTTAACTTATAAGTGCTAGGGATATGGACACTCCCGAGCTTCAGAACCTTGCATTTATCTACATTGAACTGCATCTGCCACTTTTCTGACCAAGAATATAGTTTGTTTAAATCCTCCTGAAGTTCCCTAACATCTACGTTTGAATCAATTATCCTACCTATCTTTGTGTCATCGGCGAATTTGCTCATATCACTAGTAATTCCCTCATCAAGGTCATTGATATATATTATAAACAACAACGGGCCCATGACTGATCCCTGTGGAACGCCACTTGTCCATTTATGGACACACTCTGCATCCTGTCTGTGAGCCATGACTCGATCCACGAGAGCACTTTTCCCCCAATGCCATGAGCTGCCACTTTCTTTAACAGTCTATGGTGCGGAACTCTATCAAAAGCCTTACTAAAATCTAAGTAAATAATATCAAATTCTTTATCGTGGTCAACAGCCTCAAAAGCTTTACTGAAGAAAGTTAATAAATTAGTTAGACAAGACCGGCCTCTTGTGAATCCATGCTGAGTATCATTAATCAAGCTATGCTTATCGAGATGGCTTTTTATAATCTCAGCTATAATTGACTCTAGTAATTTGCCTACAATTGAGGTCAGGCTTATTGGGCGGTAATTTGACGGTAACGACTTGTCCCCTGTTTTAAAAATAGGAATTACATTAGCCATCTTCCACATATCAGACACTACACCTGTTTGAAGAGATAAATTAAAAATATTAGTTAATGGTTCACAGAGTTCCATTTTGCATTCCTTAAGAACCCTTGAAAAAACCTCATCAGGACCCGGCGACTTATTTTGCTTCAGTCTGTCTATCTGCTTCACAACCATTTCACTAGTGACTGTGATGTTACATAATGAGTTACAAAATGAGTGATTTGTGATCAATTTCCCCAAGATCATCATTAACCTCAAGATTAAAAATCAGTGATTCCTTGTTGACAAGAACCAAGTCAAGCCGGTTGAACTCTTGTTGGTTCTGTTACAAATTATTCATGGATCGTATCAAGAAAGCCGCTAGATTAAGTTTTCCTGTCAAATCATTCCAATCTGTTTGTTTGTTGACATAACTTTTTCGTTTCTAGATGCCTTATGAATCTGATCCTATAGAAGTTTATTGCGTTCCCTGTCAAGGTTTGGGGGGCCTGTAAAGCACTCCCAAGATTAGTTTTTCACGTTATTCATAACCGCATTGATGGTTGTTGAGCTAGAGGACGCCACTGCCATACTGATGTAAGATTCGTCTACAAAAACTTGCCTTTTTTAATCGCAGCAGGACCCATGCTAACCTTCCTATGTTGTAAAGAAGTACACATAGTTGGCCAAGTCCTATTAGACCGGCATGGTACAATCTACAACAAACTTTCCTGCTAGTTTTAGGCTTGACTTGTCATGGATTCGAACCTCTGTTCTGTGAGTTGTTTACAATCGTGTCATTACGATTTCATAAGTCAACAAAAAAATAATAATGCACAAAAAATAATATGTTCTATGTTCTTTTTAAGGATCAAAGATTCATAGATAGTGTTAACTAAGCACTTTAACTTACCTTTACAGTAATAATCCAGCTTGGCCTCAGATCATGATCTGGCACTGTGGGGAGCGGGGAGGCTGGCACTGCTGAGAAGAACACATCACTCACCAACAGAGTATTCCAACCAGTCAAATGCCAGTCTTTCCTGTTTGACACATAATAAAGCAAAAAATAACTTACAGAGATCTACAAAATATGTGCAAAATATACACTCATCTCCAGGTGTTCATTAAACAGTTTTTCAGTCGATGCCTTTATTGGATTAAAATTTTGACTCATATTTTAACCATACCACTGGCGGGGTTAGAACCCACGACCAGAGAGTCATAAAACTCCAGACCGACGCGTTAGCCACTGGGCTAATATAAGTCATATCGACTCTCATTTGTTTAAGCTACTTAAAATGACCAACTACGCACTCCTGTGTGTAAACACGAATTCATAGACTCTCAGAGTTGTTATATTCCTGAAAAAATTCTTCCTTTTGCGTAACATTTACCTGAGTCTGGTAAAGTAACTGTCATCATTAGTGAGTCTAATAACCTGGTCAAATGGCTGTATATTGTTATATTTTAAGTAGGAATTTTATATTAATATTTTCCCTTACATGATACATCCAGATAAAAGGAACGAGTTTTGGGTTGTTCTGAGAGTGCCACATGAGTAGTATTGTTAAAGGTCAGAAAGTGAGAGTGCCACATGAGTAGTATTGTTAAAGGTCAGAAAGTGAGAGTGCCACATGAGTAGTATTGTTAAAGGTCAGAAAGTGAGAGTGCCACATGAGTAGTATTGTTAAAGGTCAGAAAGTGAGAGTGCCACATGAGTAGTATTGTTAAAGGTCAGAAAGTGAGAGTGCCACATGAGTAGTATTGTTAAAGGTCAGAAAGTGAGAGTGCCACATGAGTAGTATTGTTAAAGGTCAGAAAGTGAGAGTGCCACATGAGTAGTAGTGTTAAAGGTCAGAAAGTGAGAGTGCCACATGAGTAGTATTGTTAAAGGTCAGAAAGTGAGAGTGCCACATGAGTAGTATTGTTAAAGGTCAGAAAGTGAGAGTGCCACATGAGTAGTATTGTTAAAGGTCAGAAAGTGAGAGTGCCACATGAGTAGTATTGTTAAAGGTCAGAAGTGTTGGTGACGACGGAGATTAAACATTCACATGTGGATCGTCCTCAACCTAACATATACTCACTACTTTGTGTTTCTGTATGTACGTTATACGCTTCTATCCCGTCAAGAAACACTTCTCTATATGAACTCAAGATGTTTGTTTTATTGACTGTTGGATCACTAATGGTAAGTATCATGTGATAAACCCATCCATTACTAAGGGAAATCTTATCTTCCCATCACAAGAACATTGTCAATAACTCTTCATTAAGCACAAATCAAATAGGTAAGTACTTCTCTCTTTAACTACAAATCAAGAAGGAACAAATTATACATGCACTTCTCTGCCCAACCACAAATCAAGCAAGTATTGAACTGTTGAGTATAATGTAAGGGGTTTGTAAAAATTCTCTATAAAAAGTGTCAGCGCTTAAATGGACGCTAATTGAACGGTCAGTGAGACTTGTATTCAACGTGTACAATGGGCGAGAGAGCTGTATGACGTCACTAGTCTAGCAGTGGCTGGGAAGATGTGCTGTAGCAAGGTTGCAGATAAGTAGTGCATGGGTTTTTTTGGATAAATTTTAGACCATAGGTTGTTTTTGGTAAAATTTTTGTACTCTTAAGTTTCCCCTAGCATTGGGCCAGTCCCTGGTATTTATGTAGGGTCTGTGTAAGTTGTGGAGAGTGCGAAAATAATTGATTTTTACCAGCAGGCTGGAAGACGACATTGAAATATGACGATCTACAGGATCCATTAATGTTTTATTCTCCTATAACCTAACTATGACTCTTGTGGGTTTGGCTCTTGGTTTTAATTGTAATAGTAATAATATGGCCTAACTTTGAGCAGCTTGTAAAGGTCTACTGGTATATGGTATTTTTGCAATGGTGTTGTATATATATTGTTTTGTATATGTTCATTTTATAAAGGAGAGTTTATGTGCCCTTCGTGGTAACCAAACCTAAAGTATTGTCCATTTATTTAACATTTTGTGTAGTTACGAAGCATGGCGGCTTAGGACTATTTATTTTCATATATACCCCTAGACAAAGTGTTTTTCCCCTACTTGCATTTATAAGTTTAGATTCAGGTGTAAATTTTAAATTTTAATGAAATTGTAAAAAAAAAAAAAAAAACTTGCAAAAGTTGAATTTGAAGAAATTACTGGAAAATATATTTCTTGATGGTCAACAAATTTTCAATGTTGATGTTAACTGGGAGAATTATTTTATTTAATTTAGCTTTGTACGTACATGCCAATTTGCCATTTTTATTTTTTGTCAAATTATGTCCGAAACACACAAAACTAAATGATTTTCACAGAGTATTGTAGAGAATTTCAAATATAATAGAACTACAAAATCCAAATTAAGAAATAGTGAAGATTCGCATTTTTATAGCATTTTTAATTTTCATTATTTCAGTGAACTCTTAAACAGTGTAGGACTTAATGCCTCAGCCGCCGCCACAGTCTTAGTGCTCTTATTTTATAACTTCACATTATTATTATTATTATAATCAAAAAGAAGCACTAAACCTACTAGGGTTATACAGCAGTGTAGGGCAGGAGTGATGCAGGATCTAAGGATACGCAAGGGTGGAGAGGACAACAAAGGTAGAGTTACAGCAGTGTAGGGCAGGAGTGATGCAGGATCTAAGGATACGCAAGGGTGGAGAGGACAACAAAGGTAGAGTTACAGCAGTGTAGGGCAGGAGTGATGCAGGATCTAAGGATACACAAGGGTGGAGAGGACAACAAAGGTAGAGTTACAGCAGTGTAGGGCAGGAGTGATGCAGGATCTAAGGATACACAAGGGTGGAGAGGACAACAAAGGTAGAGTTAGGAAGGGCTGTGAGGAGTGCTAAAGGAAGTGTTATCAAAGTTTGTGCAATAAATTGGTTGCTATCAAAAAGTCAAAGAGAGTGTCAAAGGCGGGGCTGTCAGCAAGGAGGGAGGCGGGGCTGTCAGCAAGGAGGGAGGCGGGGCTATCAGCAAGGAGGGAGGCGGGGCTGTCAGCAAGGAGGGAGGCGGGGCTGTCAGCAAGGAGGGAGGCGGGGCTGTCAGCAAGGAGGGAAGATAAAGTATAATATGGCAAACTGATATTGGAACCTGACGAGTCTCAGAGTGAGACAGGGTGCCTCTCCATAAGATACCTGTGAGTAAGACGGGTGTGTCCGATGTGAAGACAGGAGAGCATAGTCTTCCAACCTCGGCATTGATGATAAGGCCAGAAACCCAAACTTGGCTTGATAGGATGTCATTTGTTTTAAATCATATTGGACCAACAAAGGTTGCGAATATGGCTACAGATTAAAACAAAATAGTCTGAGAATGGAAGACCTCTATATGAAACTAGGAGGTCATGTACTGTGGACAATGTAGCAGAGTCTGCGTGCTCACTGACCTGAACATCAACATGACCAACGACCCAACAGAAAACATCTTTAGTTATGCCGCATTTCCAACAAAAACAAAGTTGTATACAAAGAACTGGGGTATGAGGTGACTCAAATTTTTGAATAGCTTACAAAGCACTTAGGGAGTCTGAGATTACTACAAATGTCGAGGTAGGCACAGATGCAATATGGATAATTTCAATGAGAACTGCATATAATTCACTAAAAATTCTAGCCAAGTCTAATAAATGCCCTCTCACTACACTGCCTGGGAACACTGCTGCAAACCCAAAACTATCAGAGGATTCAGAACCATCAGTGTACACTGCGACGGCATGACAATGAGACCGGAAGTGGTTAAGAAAAAGAGAGCAAGAAGAAACTGTAGGTAATTGGGTTTTCACACACGGCAGTGGGGAAGAACAGACACGAACTGTTGGAACCTCCCAGAGAGGAAGGGAAAAGTTAGATGCTAGATGAACATATCAATGGGGCAAATGAAGAGACGACAAGAGAGAATGAAGACAAAGAAGAGAGTAAACAGGGGTGGTGAACAAATAATGGACTTCTACTATTCCGTTACTATCCTGTATGTAGAAGGATTGTGAATGTCATAAGAGCGGACAAAATATAGGAGACAATGAGCATCGCAGCGATTGTTCAAGGATGGAATATTCGCCTCTGCATATAGGCTCTCGACAGGTGAGGAGCGAAAAGCACCTAGATATAAACGTGGCCCCTGATGATGGATGGGATCAAGTTTTGAGAGACTGATCGTGGCTTCTATCCCCGCCTGTGGTATGGTTTGTTTGCAATTGTGTCATTACGATTTCGTGAGTCATGTTAATGGCTTTGAGGGGACTTGAGCTAGAGTTCGTCACGGCCACGCTAGCCGGAGATTCGTCTGTTAAAACTTGCATTTGTGGTCACAGTGGTGCCTATGCTAACCTTCCTATGGTGTAGAAATATACCTAGTTGGACGAATCTTATTATGGCTAGCTGGTCCAGTGGCTAACGCCACGGTCTGGAGTTTTGAGACTCTCGGATCGCGGGTTATATCCCCGCCCGTAGTATGGTTTGTTTGCAATCGTGTCATTACAATTTCGTGAGTCATATAGCAAAGTCATCAACACAGACTCATGACCAAGTATTAGATGGGAGAACAGATGCTAGATCATTTATTGCAAGAAGAAAAAGAGTGGTGCTAAGGACACATCCCTGAGGGACACCCTTAGCTTGGGCAAAGTCCTGGTAAAGCGAATGATTAACACAAACACGGAAATGTCTTTCAGATAAAAAGTTTTAAGGAAAAATGGCAGATTGCCTCGAAGGCCTAAGGAGTGAGCTTAGGCCAAGATGTTATATTTTCATGTAATGGCATATGCCTTCTGAAGATCAAAAAAAATGGCACTGCGAACATATATATTTAAGCGGAGTAAGGGGTCGATAGTAGAGTGGCCCTTACGAAAGCCATATTGACTAATAACAGAAGAGGTGTCTAAATATCACATCAGACATCAATATACCAGACGTTCCATCACCTTGCAAACTGCACTGGTAAGATAAATGGGACAGTAGAGTGAGCTATCATGCCCTAAAGTACCTGGTTTACGAGAAAGCAGAACAATGGCAAATTT